AAAATAGTCATTTGAAGCCCAGACACTGGAGCCAGCAAGCACCTGGAAGATGGGCTCTCCTGGAAGAGATAGCATCTCCTTGTGTCTGGAAGGAGCTCACTTTGCAATTCTTTTCTCTGAACCATGTGGCACGAATGCACCAAGAACTGCTTCTTCCAGGGAAGGAGAGAGCCTTGTTTTCGAGGAAACACATTTCCAGCGTTTCTTTGTTTCTGGACATCCAATAACAGAGTTATATTGGACCCGATCCTCATATGTCTCTGACTTTTTCATTTTCCTTTCATTTTTTTCAATTTTGAGAATAAGCATTTACAAGGCCTCCCCTGTATCCCAGATGCATTGAACCAGATCTAGTCATGGCTTTAAAGCCACTATGATCTATGAGGGGAGCTGAGACTCAGACACAGTGACCTGTGATGTGACTGTATACTCTGTGTCCCAGTCAGTACCCAGCAGAGAGTAGGTGTCCCCAGGTGGCTGAGGTTCACTGAGTGCTTAATATGTGTCACGCACCCTCCTAAACGCTTTATGTGAATTAACCCATTTCAACTTCACATGACCATGCAGCATGAATACCTTATCTCAGATTAAACTGAAAATCAGAGAGGTTAACAGTAACTTGGTCAGAATTATCCAGCTAGGACACAACGGAGCTGGCCCCAAAGTTCGCACTCAAAATCCCTGCAGCTGAGTGCTTCTCCATAAATATGTGTTACGTAGCAAATAAAGAAGGCCTCCATATGTGCCATAAAAGAGATGTAGACCACGTCAAGAAAAGGAAGATTACACCATAGTGACCAGGAGACACTTGGTGACAGCTATTATGCTTGAACTAGGACTTACTGAACAAAAACGCTGGTGATAAGCAGGAGGGGGAGAAGGTGGTCCACGTAGGAGTGAAGAGATCAAACACATATGGCCTGAACTTGTCAGTTGTGGTGTCTGTTTGCTCCCTGCATGATCCTCTCCCACTCTACCATAGGTGATCAGACCAGGGGTGTTATGGACTGAATTATGTCCGCCCCTCCAATTCACATGTTGAAGCCCTAACCCCAGTATTTTAGGGTGTGTTTGAAGATTGGAACTTCTAAAGAAGTAGTTAAAATTAAAATGAGGCCATTAGGATGGGCCAAATCCAATCTGATTTGTATCCTCCTAAGAAGAGGAAATTAAGATACCAGGGACACACAGGTACAGGGGAGAGGCCACGTGAGGACAGTGAGAAGGCAGCACTATGCAAGCCAAACTGAGAGGCCTCAATAGAAACCAAACTTGCTGATACCTTGATCTTGGACACCTAGCTTCCAGAATTGTGAAAGAATAAATTTCTGTTGGGTAAGCCCCACTGTGTGGTGGTATTTTTTATGGCAGCCCTTAGCAAAGTAAGAAAGGGCTGTAAGACTGAACCAAAGACAGAAGAACATAGACTGGCCTGTGACCTACTTGGGGATAAAGAGAAACTGGGGCAGAGCTTTTCTGTTATCGGTTAGAACTGGGGTACCCTGCAAAGGAGGGGGGTAGTCAGCAGTGGTGAGTTGAAGCCACAAGAGAGCAGAAACCATAAAAAAGCAAATGTGCTGAACCATAAAAGAGATTGAAGCAAAAATGCCAAAAGGAAGAGAGAGAGAGAGATGAGAAAGACCCCTCAGCCACGGGCGTGGAGGGACCGTTCCCAAGAGTGGCTTCAGTTTCTAGCTCATTCCCAGGTTGGGTCCCAAACCCCTGTGGGGGAGTATTAGGAAACCCAGCTGGCTAAAGGCAACTTGAGTGGACTCTGTTCCTTCTGAGTGGACACTGTTCCTTCTGAAAGATCCAGAGAAGTGTGAAAGGCTGTGTTTAGTGACAGATTGGCAACTCACAAAAAGTGTAATGTGTGCAGGAAACTAGTGGAGATCAGGCTGGAAAAGCAGGTTGAAGCAACTCCTTGGAAGGTTTGGAATGCCAGGGGCAGGAGTGCAGGCCATGGGAGGGCGCTTGGCAAGGGTGAGGAAGGTCCTTGTCTCCTAGTGTTGATGCAGGGCCCCAGGTTCCTTCTGCATTGTGGCTGCACCATTCCGAACACCACCTCCTCCGAGCAGGCGGAAGGGAGATGAGGAAGCCAGCCCTCCCACACAGAGGTGAAGGGATGGCGAAGAACCACTGGGAGGCAGAATGAATGGAGCGAGACCAGGGGAGGAGCCACAGAAAACTTATGGGAGATGAGAGCGTGGTGGGGCCATTACCTGGCCTAGGAGCTGATGGATGTGGTGAACTGACAGACGGGGACATCTGGGGTCTAGTTCCCGTTTGGCCTGGAAGACCATGTGGGAACAGTGTGGCCATTGAGAATCCATGGCCATTGTGGTAACTGGGAAATCTTAATTCATCCTCAGCAGCAAGAGGCATGCTCTGCCCCGATCAGGATGCAGCCACACCTTATATTCCTGCATCTGTGTGTGTGTTATTTGGTTCTTGGTCCCGCTGACAAGTGCTTAACTCTTGCTCTGTGTCTCAAGGTCAGCGTCCCAAGACAGATGGTCTGCTGGGCAGAGTGTCCATCACAGATAATAGGTTGACATAGTTTATGACAGGCTGCTCTTGGGCCCGGCACCTGGTCCGGTGGGCAGTGCCCTGGGGCAGAGTCCTGTGGCACCAGGGCGTCTGCCCATGCCCTTGGCACAGCTCTGCAGGCATGGCAGGCTTTCTGAGGCTTGGCCAATCCCGTGAGTACACTTCCCCTCCTAAGCCTTAGTTTGCTTGCCCTTCAAATAAAGGACTTGGACCCCATGATGCTTACAAGCCCTCCATATTCTGTGCCGCATCAGCTAGGGCAACATTTGCTATAATGAATAAGCCCACGCTTGCTGGCTTATTGCAGTAGAACTTCATTTCTTGCTCACAGACCAGTGTGTGAGAGGACAGTTGGTGCAGAGGACAGATTCCTCTACATAGTGACTCAGGAACCCAGGCTCCTTCCATCCCATTGCTTTAGGGTGTTTGAGTCCAAAACCAGCAGATGGAGAAGAAGGTAGTAAAGACACACTTGCTTTGGCCCAGAAGTAACTCCTATCATCTCTGCTCACATTCCATTGGTGAGCCTTAGTCCCATGCCTGTTCCTAGATGCCGGGGCCTGGGGAGTGTGGCCCTGGCTGGACAGATGCTTCCAAGCAGCAGCCTCACTTTATGAAAAGGGAACAGAAATCCTGGTGGACAGCTAGCTGGTTCTGTTGCATGGGTGGGGTTCAGTTTTGAACTTGTCTCCAGCCTCTTCTCCCAGCAATGGGTGACCTTGTTTCCAAGGAGAATCTTGAAGCCCGTGGTCCTAGTTTCCCACTTTATTGCCTTGAGGCAGAGTCCTACTTTATTACCTGTCATAATTTTTATAGCTAGCCAAAGAGGCCTTTGCTGCTGGGCAAAGTTCTGATAGCTCAAGGGGCCCACTGCCCACACGAGGGGGCTAAAAGAGATAGCAAGTGTCCAGGAGAGAGGAAATAGGAGGGATGTTCCTGCTTTGCAGGAGAAGAGGAGGAAGGGCAGAAAAATAACCAGTTATGTTCTGAAACAAGGAAGAAGGCTGCCTGCCTGCTTCCATTTCTCTGGTAAATATTTGACTGGATGTTTGCCTTTTCTCTGAGGTTTTTGGGTGCTGTGAAGAGAACTGGGCAGAACACCAGAATATCAGAAGCAGTCAATAACCAAGAGGCCAGAGAAACTCAAAGAACAATCCAGAGAAGGAGATCGCTCACTGGGACCACAGGCAGTGCTTTCCCACCAAGATGATTTCTGCAAACTCCAGGTGAGTTATCAGGTCACACAGGACACACAGGACACACAAGTCACGCAGGACAACCACATGTTCATGGCAACTGTCTTCTTTGATGTCGGTGATTCATGGAAGCTGGGAGAAAGGCATAGGTTTAGTTGGTTTATAGGTTTAGTTAGGTTTATATATGTGGGTTATATATATGTGGTTATAGTTGGTTTATAGGTTTAGTTAGGTTTATATATGTGGGAATAAACCATGGATGGGTTCCTGGGTCAATGAACAGGTTACTGCTTATCTTCAGTTTGGAGCCAGAGTAGAATGGGAAGAGCCCAGATAATGGTGTTGAAAGACCTGAGTTGGAATCCTGGCTCTGTAGTTTCTGGCAAATCTGAAAACCTCAGTTTCCTCACCCATAAGTCAAGTGTAATATCCCCAGCTTTGTGAAGATCATGTGAAAAAAGAATGTGAAAGGATTTGAGGTCTGTGAAGTCCTATACAAATGCCAGGAATTAAGAATTCTCACATTGAAACTTGTCTCCAGCCAAACATTGAAACTTAAATATTTAATTAAAAAATTTTTTTTAATCTTACTTAAGTCTTAAAAGACCTGAAAAGACTAGCCCAAAATATGACAGAAAGTAGAACTGTCACTTTCTGGTGTCGTCGTGTGTCTGGTTAGATCGTCTAGGGATGCCATGGAGGGTGAGAGACAGAAGAGGCATTGTGGAAAGACAGACGGAGTCTAGACTGTCTAATGGGAGTCCCTTGGGAAAGCAGATAAGGGTTTCCCCACTGTCTGCGGGTAGAGCTTCCTTCCTATGAAACCTTTCATGAGCCAGAATGCTATCAAGCCATTACGTGGAAACATTTTTGAGCATTCCCAGACCCCCAAAATAACCTCTCTTAGGCTTTTCTGTTGCCTTCGGACACATCTTGCCAACAGGTGCACAAAAATAGATGGAGATGACGTACCAATGCTCACAGACATTTCAAAGCTCTGGTGGCTTGATGGAGATGCTGAGTGTGCTCCCTGGGGAAGGAGCTTGGTGGGACCCATCTCCCTACTGGGGTGCCTGCTGCTTCTATAATGGCTCGCTGCAAAACAAACGCCGAACACTATTTTTGCTTTTGGCCTTTTCTCATAAAGGGGAAAATCCTCTTTGGATTTCTTTCGGTTAGTGAAAACAAGTAGTAGTGTAGGTCGTTTATAAAAGCAAAGTGGCATAATGTAAACTTTTGAAAAGTGGGGCATACCTGTACCTGGAGTCCTGGGCACAGGGAAGGAGGGACGAAGCGTGAGGGCAGTGGGTGGAGAAGGACATGGGACAGGAAATAGACCAGAGGGTGGCCTGAAGGACAGGTGGACGGAAAGGAGAGTCAGCTAAGTGCTGGGGGACACGAATTAGGAAACCTGAGGGCATTGGTCTCTTTCTCCCCTCATTCCAGCTGGGCTCCTTGGGCTAGGAGGGAAGGGCTAAGAGGGAGCAGGGGTGTGTGGCTGGATGTGGACTTCAGGAAGGTCCCTCTGGTCACGGGGTAGAGGAGGGATGAGGGGGCAGTGCGGGAGGTATGGGACGTGGCAGGGATTTGACCCTGAAGTCCAGGTGAGGGTGAGGGGAGCCTAGACTGTGGTAGTGGCTTTGGGGACAGAGACATGTCTGGATTCAGCAGGGATTGGAGGGTCTACCTGACAGGGCTTGATCTGGGGGCGTGTTGGAGAGCGTGCCTCTGCGTCTCTGGCTTGGCCTAATGGGTGGACAGTGGTGCCATTCCTGACATGAGGTTCCCCAAGGAGGAACAGATTGGCAGGACTGTTCAGTTGGGACATGTTAGGGTGGAGTGCCACGGGACATCCCAAACAAGATGACCAGGAGGCAGGCAATTGGCTATATGGTCTGGACTCAGAATAAAAGTCTGAGCTGGACCCCGAGAATGTGGTCCACCCCATGGGCCCGGTACCCTCTGGGCCCCAGACATTCTTTCAAAATCAGCCCCATGCCCTCCACGGCCTCCATGCACTCCTCCCAGGACCACCTCTTTATCATGGTCATCTCCCCGGATCCCAGGCTGGCTTGTCCGGCTCTTCTTATAGGGCAGGGCTCAAGCCTGAGCACATCATCCAGATTTGTCTGCCCAGTAAAGAGTAGGGGGTCACTGTCTTCTCTGAGGACCCCAGACACAGAACCTTTATCAATGTCTTCATGTAATTTTAATGTGTGAGTCTGTTTCCTGTTTAGAAAATATACAAAGGTTTCAAATTCCAGCTCTGCCACTTGCAAGCTGAGTGACTATGGGTATTTACTTCACCTCTCCAAAGCCTCAGTTTTCCCATCCATGAAGTGGGAATAATAGTCCTTGCTGCACAGGCTGTGAAAGGATTAAGTGAGATAATAACTATAAAACCGTAACCCCATGCCTAGCACGGGATGAACCTTCAATAAACGGTACCTATTATTACTGTTATTTTATTAAGGGAGAAGAAATGAAAATGAACGTTGCTTTATTGGACGTTTAATAGAGTAGGGAGTACAAAAAGGGGCTTTTATCTTCCTCAGTCATACATTTTTTTGTGTCAACTCTCTCTGAACTTCTCAGACATGGGTGCAACACCCCCCCATACTCACCGTCTGAAGCAGGGTGCCCAGCCAGGCTGACCATTCCTAGCTTTGCAGTAAGCTCAAAATGAACGGGCAAGGTGAAAGCAGAGGAGAGGAAGCAGAGACCTGGACACAGAGGGAAAAACAGGGGGGTCATGGGAGAAAATGGAATAAAGACACAAAAGACCAATTAATACCTCATCTCTGATCCTCACAGCTTCACGTTAGTATCTGTGTTTGAGTCCCCCTATGGACAAGTGACAGCCTGTTTCTGAACCTCGCTCTCTAAGGATCCAGCAAGACCTCGGGGATGAGAACGCTGTGTGGACCGTAAAGCCCCAGTCTTTCCCATGGTGCCCGTAGCTTGGCACAGGGGACCATCCCATGGCTCATGCCCCAGTAGAGAGCTCTGTTCCCAACCTGGCCAAGCTGATTCTGTCTCTCTGAGACACTGGTGGACCCGGGGCACCCAGCCAGGGTGTCCAGCTTTTTTGTACAATGGCTTCTGTGTCTCTCAATAATGCTGGTGCTACTCTAGGAGAGTGCCCCCGGGCTCCCCTGGGAGCCAGGCTGCTGCTTGAAATCTACCTCTAGCTTGTGGAACAGCATCTGGGAGAAGCAGCTGCAGGGAAGGGGGATGCAGGCCTCAGTTAACAAGGCACCTTTCATACCCATTCTTTTAAAAAATTTTTCTTTAAAGTTTATCTTGAGAGAGAGAGGGAGTGCTTGTGTGTGCACATGAGTCGGAGAGGGGCAGAGAGAGATAGAGGGAGAGAAAATCCCAAACAGGCTCTGCACTGTCAGTGAGAGCCCTATGGCAGGGCTCGATCCCATGAACCATGAGATCATGACCTGAGCCGAAATCAAGAGTCGGACGCTTAACTGACTGAGCCACCCGGGCACCCCCATACCCATTCTTTAAATAATACAGGGAAGTGATGGAATTCCACCCATTCCACAGACAAGCAACTGAGGCTTCAGAAGGACAAATGATTCATCCCAGGTTGCAAGTTCTTTGATTCCAAATCCCAGGCTCTTCCCTCCAGATAGATCTGAGGTCTCACTTGAGCATGAAAACACCCCATACATGCCTTCAAAAGGAGGTTACTGACCTAGGGCTGACCATTTCTAGTGGTACAACAAGGTCAAAATCAACGGGCACAGTCAAGGCCAAAGAGAAGGAAATGGATTTGGACACACAGAGGAGATAGCCCTGGGGGAAAAAAATGGAATAAAAACAGGATGTGTATGTATTTCTCCTGATTCCCAGAGAGTCACAGAAAGTAACAGAGACAAAGCATCGAGGAGTAAGAGGGAATCACAGAGAAGACACATAGAACTTTCTGGAAAGGCTGTCAGAGGCAGGCCTGAAGTGGGGTTGTGGGGCTGGGAAGAAAACAAGAGATATGTCGGCAAGGTGGCTGCCTGTGTGGGTTTTATGATAGTCCTGGGCTTAATTTTATCTTATTTAAACAATTTAAAGTTTTAAAATTGGAAGTATGTATATTTATACAAAAGAAGAGGAACTAGTATATTAAACTCATGTACATATTCCCATTGCCAGATTCCATGGCCAGTCTTGTTTCAGGGGCACCCCCTCTTCCAGGCAACCCAGCATCTCATCATGGATTTCAGTTTTGAAAGGAAGTTTGCTTTCCCCCATGGAATTCTAGAAGCTGTGCACAAATGACCCACACACAAAGTCAGCTCTTCACAAGCCCCCATGAGCCTCTCGTCTTCATCTGACAGAATCCACATTACCCTGGCCACAGAAGTGGAAAATTACATTGTAAGGTCCTAGAATGTGAGTCAGAAAGTACCTATGTGAGGGTCCACATTGCTAGGGTTCAAGTCCTGCTGGCTCCTCCACTTATTAGCTGAGTAGGCTTGGATGAGCTTCCTGATCATTCAGTGCCACAGTTTTCTTATCTGTGAAATGGGCTGATAATAGTACCTCTGTCACAGGACTGTCAGGAGGATGAAGTTAGTTAATAAATGTGTAGCCCCTAAAGCATAGTTTGGGGCACAGTGGGCCTTTGAGAAATGTTATCTGTCCCTCTACCCACTTAGGGAACGTTAGTGAGCACCTACTGGTGCCACATGCTGGGCCAGGAGCTGGGCATGCGGAGATGCACGAGAAGGGTCTCCGTCCCCAGGGAGCCCCCCATCCAGTGGGGACACAGACCCAGGAAAAGACACTTCTAAGCAGTGGCCTGGCTGCTATGACAGTGGGCTGTGTCCCAAGCAGTTCAGCCTTCTCCATTCACAAGTGGCCAGACTGAGACCCGCAGGCCCTCTGAGCCTAAGGAGCCAAGGCGCTCAGCAGCGGAGCCAGGTGGCCTGGAGGCAGTTGTTCCCGGCCAGTCCTCTTACATGAGGGTCTCAGAAGCGGGTGGGTCTGGAGGGTGGCGGGGCTATTCTGGGCAAAGGTGCTGTGCTTTGGGTCACCCTGCCAGCAGCATGGAAATGGGAGACGGGTCATGGGGTCAGGCGTGGGCAGCTGCCATGGCTACTGGTTAACCAGGTGAAGGACTTTGATTCAGCTCACTGCAGGGTCAGGGGCCAAGGCAGAAGAGTCCCCGACACCCCGGTGCCTCGCGGGGGGCCGGGCTGGCTGCCCATGCCATGCACTGGATTGGGAAGGGCTGGCAGCAGACTCTCCAGGGACAGAGGAGCAGACAGGGTCTGGGGTCTGAGGAGGTAGAAATGGAGCCTGGGAGAGTTCCTTTTCAGCCCAACATAAGGCAAATCCCTTATCTTTGGTCAGAGCTGTGCAGAAGTGGGAAGGGGATGGAAAAGAAGATCAGTTCTCATTGAGCATGAGGCGAGCACTTGACTGTCACTGTGTCTGGTCATCAGGCAGCCTGGAAAGGAGGCATTAGATCCACTTTCAGGAGGAGGAGAGTAAGGCCCGGAGAAGGCATGGCTCACCCACCATCACACGGCTGCTGGGGGTGGGGGGAGGGGGCTGGGCTCACTCTCAGGTCTGCCTGGCTCCCTGTGCTTTTCCTCTAGGCCCCGTGAGATGGAAGGGTTGGAGAGGATTCCTACCCCTGGAAGTGCTGCCCGAGTGTGGGTGTGGGGCTGGGGAACGTCCTAAAAGGCATTCAAGCATCTGAAGGGGCTGGATTCCAGAGCTTCTAGGTGACCAGGTGGGTGTCTGTGATCCTGACTGAGTGGATGAATGTTCTATCTCAGGGGTGGACAGGAGGCAGCTGTGCCATACGCGTGTCCACCGCACCCAGCACTGCCGGTTTCTCAGTCTCCCTCCCCTCCTCCCCCTTCCTTCCTTCCTTCCTTCCTTCCTTCCTTCCTTCCTTCCTTCCTTCCTTCCTTCCTTCTTTTCATTCATTCATTCATTCATTCGGCACCTACTTGGATTTGTTTTGTATGTACCTGTCCCAAGTCAGAAGCTGGGGGTAGGGCTGGAGTGGAAGATGGTTGGAGTTTAAAGCTGAGTGAAATGCTCCTTGCTTTGGAACAGCCCAGGCTAAAAGTGAACGCCGAGGCCTGAAGAAGGCCCCTGCAGCAGGAAGTGATGAGTGCCAGAGAGCGATGAGGCTAAGGAGTGGGGGTGGGGGGTTCTTCCCAAAGAGGCTGGAGGGACGGACTCTGGCACCAGGGAGACGAGCCAGGGCAGGAGGCTGGTGCAACACCCCGAAGGGCAGGTGATAAGGGCTAAAGAGTTTCCAGATGACCTCACCTGCTGTTACACGTCAGAGCAAGGCCTGGTGTTTGGGAACCCCTCCGTACAAGGACAAATACTTGCAGAAGGTGCAGTGAGTCAGAGGCCTTCGGGGATGGTGCGCCCCAGGCCCGGCAATCACCTCATGGTCAGGGTTTCAAACGGCTGATGGACAACCATTAGTGGGCTGTAAAATTAATTTAACGGTTATGACCAGCACTTTACAAAATGGAATGGACCAGAACAAAATGAATAGAATTGAATCAGATTAAAAATAGTAGAGGATATGAAGGGTATTGTGTTACGAAAATTTGTTCTGCATGTTTGTGCACGGCTGTGTGTACACGCACACACATGAACTGGGTCATGGCTATAGTGTGTACTTGACCACAGCTATGACTCGTAGTCAGAAAACTTAAAAACACTGAACGGGGCCAAACTCCTCATTTTGCAGAGCATGGGAGAAGAGGGTTGGTTGGAGCACTGGCTCTATCCTGTGTTTTTTTCTCTAAACTTACCTTTCTCCTAAAGCTTAGTTTATATTCAGACCAGTTTACAAACTTGAACAGCCTCCTTATTTTTGTCTGTGCCCAGAGCCAGGGCCACATCTGCCCAGCGGTGTGCCAGGGAATGTGTAACAACTGGCTGTCTGAGAAAAATACATACATATATTTAATATAAATTATACTGATATAATGGATGTATCACACAACTCACAGGTAATGAAATATACAATGCTCTTTATTACAGGTTCCATAGAATCAATTAA